CCACTGGTTAATTGTTCTAACTGTCAGGAAGTTTCTCCTTAGTTCTAGGTTGCTTCTCTCTTTGGTTAGTTTCCACCCGTTGCTTCTTGTCCTGCCTTCAGGCGCTTTGGAGAATAGCCTGACTCCCTCTTCTTTGTGGCAGCCCCTAAGATATTGGAACACTGCTATCATGTCCCCCCTCGTCCTTCTCTTCATTAAATTAGACATACCCAATTCCAGCAACCGTTCCTTATATGTTTTAGCCTCCAGTCCCCTAATCATCTTTGTTGCTCTTCTCTGTACTCTTTCTAGAGTATCAACATCTTTTTTACATCGTGGTGACCAAAACTGGATGCAGTATTCCAAGTGTGGCCTTACCAAGGCATTGTAAAGTGGTATTAATACTGAGGATTCTCAGATTGTGCATCAGTTCTGTTTGGGAGAGTGCTACCCCAAGATGAAAAATCACCATATCCAGGGTGCCTAAAAACTCAAAGCCACCCAGTCTTGCCAGCCTTGAGTTGCAGCCTGTTCTTCCCCATCCAGACCCACACAGCCTCCAGGCACTGGATGAGAACTTCAGCAGTATCCCTTATATGGCCGGATGCCATGATCTTGGTTTTCTTAATATTAAGTTTCAATATACGGCCAGATATACAAATAAAAATCTTGAGTATCATCATATTGATATTTTTTTACCTTGTACCAACAGGTGGTCTCACCAAGTGGTTTTATGTAGATATTAAAATAGTATGGTGAGAGGTGAGTTCTGAGGCATCTCATATAGGAACAGCCTAGGGCTAAATCTTTCTTTGACACTGAGTTGAACTAGCCCCAGAGGAAGAGAACCACTGCAGAACAGAGCATTCCCAATCTCTAAAGTTATTCCAGAAATATATAATCAATGACATCAAAAGCTGTGAGAGGTGCAGAAGGGCAAGGAGGGATATGTTACCTCCATCACAAGCCTTCCATTCCTCAGCTGATGTTAATGTAATGATTTTGAATAGTCTCTGATACCTTTTCTTGAAACAGACTAGAAAATCTGACTGCGAATATATTTTTAAATACTTCCAAGCATCGCTAACCTTTTAAATCTTTGTCTTTTCAAATAGAGAAACTGAGGATCAACAACAGCTATATGGTGGTGCTTAAAAATTTGTGAACCCTTTTAATTTTCAATCTTTCTGCATAAATATTACCTAAAATGTAATCTGTTTTCCACACAAGTTCTAAAACTAGATAAAGGGAATCAATTATACTTGTTTATGTATTTATTGAGGAAAATTATACACACTATACTGTATTTGTTAATGCCAAAAGCTTTCAATAACTAGTGGTCAACCCTTGCAGCAATAACTGCAATTAAATGTTTCCAACAACTGCACTTTTAGCCTGTTCCTTCTTACAGAACAGCTTTAACTCAGAACG